GAGCTCGCAGTTCTCCGTGGGGCCCAGTCTCCTGGCTGCTGCTTGCATCACTTGTGAAAAAGGTGCCCCGCATTGAGGCCAACTCGTGACCCCGGAAGGTCCAAGAGAAGATCGGCTGACCCCCGCTGCACGAGATGGCCTACAAGGCTTGAGATGGCCGCTGACTGGGACTTCTTGTTTTGGGCGGAGGCCCCAGATTTGCTGCAACAGTCTGCGCGGTAGGCTGATGCCCAGGAGACGGGATGCCCAGATGGCTGTTGGCAGGCGGCGCTTGGCCCCTAAGTTCAGGGCGGGCAGCGCGGACAAAGCAGTCTCGAGCCGCTCCGCCAGGACAGCCGCGGACATCTTCCGCTGGGCTTGGGTCGTTGTTTTTGCCTTGGCCTTGGGTTTGGCTTTTGGCCCACCTTTTGCCGGCACCTCCCCCTCGTCGAGCGAGTAAAACTCGCCTCCGTCCACACTTGGCACGTAGGGCACTAAGGATGGATCCTCGGGGAGGAAAGCCTCTGCAGTCAAGGCTAAGGCGGTGTCGGCACGGCTGAGGCTGGCGCAGATGTCCTCGGACAATCTATGACCAGTACTGACAACCTGGCCCCGTGTTCGACAAGCCCTTCGTCTGTCTGAATGGCCGCCGCGCACTCGATGGTGCTACCTGGGCAGCCTGGAGCAGCTCTTCGTCAAAAAAAAAAGAGGCACTGCAAGAAGAAAACCCCCTGTCGCTTCAGGAGGCACATGGCGTAGGCTTCCACAACTGGTGGTCCTCCGTCCTCCTCTGGCCAACCGAGGACAAGCAAAGCCGGGCTGGAGACAGAAGCCTGCTGGAGCTGGGATAGATTAAAGATTCGTTGCTGCTCTGGAACTGCAACTCCGGCTGAGTCACAGCACACACGTACCTCGAGCAGGGAAGCAAAGCTGCGCGAGAGGGACTGCTGATGGAAGGGGCGACCCACAATGCGGAAGTAGGCGGCCGAAGTCGTGACCAGGCGGCTCTGAGATCTCGGGGGCACGGAATATGATGTAAAACTTCGGCGGCAGCCGATGGGTGGGGGTAGAAACCCGGCCGCCACTGCACTTGCCCACTGGCCAGCGATCCAGGCCCTCTGAAGCCGATTCCCCAGAACAAACAGAGCTATGCAAGGAATGAGCTTGCCCGGACCACCTAGCAGGACGTCGCTCCTGGTCTCAGGAGGCGCGCTCGAGCGCCTTGCACTGGCCCCCCGATCAGCGGGGCTCGCCTCCTCGGCAGGAGGGTCTATGACCACAAAGTCGGAGGAAGACCTGGAGGCCTGAGGTGGAGACGATGAGGACAGGCAGGCAGAAATGCGAGGCTGGGCACGCGCGCACTCCTCAAGGGGGCCCCTAAGGGTTATGACCAAGTTTCCCAACCTAAAGGTAAGCTCACGCTCACCCTCAATCATACAGATACCCTGACAACCTGTTTTGTGGGCCTCTGGGAAGCGAGCCCTGCACGAAAGGCTCGGAATGCCTGGGTACACACCTCACAGTAGATCCCCAGAAAACCTTCTAGAAAACCCACGCGGTAGCGAGGGACCCCACAAAAAGACCAGAGGAAAAACCAGCAATGAAAGAGGGCACGGTGGATCCCCCACAGTACACAGGACAGGTCAGCCCTTGCAATCTACTCAGGATCGAAATCCCTAAGTCAACCGCAGCTTGCATGAGCAACAGAAACTTGTGGAGAAAAGTGCATGCTCGAGACTATTCATCATGGCATCCATGAGCAAACAATAAAACAGTTCGTAATTCCGAATGCATACGCTAGCCAAAGCATCCATGCCCAAATCAAATACCGTTCGTCTCTGAATTAGCTCGATGTCCAGCGCCCAAACCACAATAACGGTCATCTTTGAATAGCAAAAGGTGTTATGGCACAAGACGAGTAAAGTTAGCATTCTTTAGTGTGGGCAGATGCCATGCGGCTGTATCAAGACACTGACTGGTGTTGGCTACAGCTATTCAGCTCGTCGACGGATTTTTTGGGAAACTTCCCATCGCAAGGGTTGGACTGCTCCGGACACAACCACTACCTGTCATGAGATTTTCGTGTTAATTGGAAATGCGTGAAATGCCTCCACCACATGCCTCGATGCTCAGGCAGTGCTCCCTAGTCCTTTTATTCATCTCATGGCACACTACCTCGGCGAAGCCTCGGTAGCCATGGAACAAAGGCAGGATGGGGCAAACAAAGCCAGCACATGCATGGATGGTGGGAGGGAAAAGGAGCCAGCTCACAGCCAGAATACGGACAGCCCGTACACTCAGTAATGAGAAAGCTCTCACACCCAATGAAGAAGCTATTGGCCTTCACTCTTAGGTATTGCAAGTTTGGAGAGATCTGGCAATGCACATCTTGGGCCTGACCAATCCCGTGCCAACGGGGAAGACTGTATGCAGAAGTTCCGGCCACGTGCGGATCCAACCACGCGAGCTGAAAACGACCTGCGTGAAGCAGAAGCGATGGCTAGGCAGTTGGGAGTCGACGCCACTTACCGCAGGAACAGTTGGACAACATCATCCAAGTTGAAGCAGAAATTGGAAGAGTTGGACGAAGAGATCGCCGAAGCAGCCAGGGCCCGACACATCACCACAACGGCATACAGTGCCTATGCGCTTAGATCCAAACTCCTGGACCCCGCACTTCCTCAGCTTCATGGCTTATCGGCAGATGACACCGGATTGCTTGGCGACATTCCTAATAAGCAAGGTGCCCACCAAGCACAGCAAGAGGGCCCACTTTTCCCATACCAAGCTTTTAGCTCCACCGGCATACAAGCACGGCGTTACGTAGACCTTCGGCTGCGGAACATGAGCAACGCCTGGGCCAACGACCCACTGCATACACTGAAACACATGAAGCCCAAAAAATAGTCGGCTCCAGCACAATGTGGAAATATGCTTGGATTGGCCTTCTAGGATCAAATTCATGGTTGTGGCTCACCCTGTGATGGAGCTGTGTGAGGAGGGAACGCGTTTGACCCTGTTTTGGGGCGCATGCTGCAGCAAGATCATGATTTGCAACTCCCTGTACCAGGTGAGCCTCCTACAGTATTCATAAGCATCAATTGAATTGCCAAGCGTTGGACCTTGATTACCTTCCACTTCTGCAAAGGCCAGGCCTTGCGGGCAATTAATCCTACCGGGTCAGTATCTTATAAGGTTGTCCTCTGCGTCAGTAGCTCTCGCAAGAGCATATCTTTTCCTGGCTTGAAACACTGCACGAAGACTACCGAAACTTCGATATCTAATCCTGCATCGACCATCTTGCTTTTGACAGACATGCTTCCAATCTCGCGCAGTTGGTTGAAGAGATCGCCGCCTTGTATTTAAGATTAGTGAAACGCCTTGGCCATCTCAACTTGTCCATCAACATCCGCAAGTCAGGGCTTTTGTGTAGTCATGCTTTCCCTTTGTAGATGCTTGATAAACCACTTCAAGCAACATTTTCCGGGCAGGCTTCTCCTGCTCCGCTGGATTGTGTTAGAGATTTTGCTCCACAACAGTGGAGGCAGGCTTTGCAGGCTTCCCACATCCAAAATGCACATTGCCGAAAGCTTACGAGGCGCTGCCAAACTTGAACTTGGTAAAAATATTGTTCGAAATAGCGTGCTTGCTAGTGGTTTGTGGGGTGCAGGGGGTTGGTAAATCCCCCAACTCTTTGCGCGTGTATCTCACACGGATAAGGAGAGTGCGGGGTTTTGCACAGACTGGGATGCGTCGCTACTGCCTGAAGGTTGCTCAGTGATAAGCCACTTGACTCGCGGCTTCTTCGATACCGTAAGCCGTAAGTTCTCTCAGAGCCACGGATTGTGCATCACCCAACATCTTGGAGGCTTCCATACAATGGCATCAACGCAAAGCAGAGGCATTGGCTATGGCTGACAACCTAGGCTTCATAAATTAACAGCAGAGAACTCGTAAACAGACTGCACACAGCAAGGGCGGTACTTTTTCTTGAGCTACTGCAAGGGTAGCGAATATTTACTGCCTCTATGTCTATGGCCAAAAAAAAAAAGCAGCCTTGATGCTTGCTGGCTCAAGGTTGTGGAGTTTCGCTGTGGCGCTCAAAACATTCCCGAAAGCAGGTACGTGAACAGGTGCAGCAGAAATGCCTTCAAATCCTTAAGGTTTTGCTGCTGTAGGCGCATGCAGGTGCATAGTGCAACAGCTTTCAAAAGAGGGGTGTGTTCTCCTCCGTGTGGTTCTGTTCTGCGTGGCGAAGGTGGCTCGTTGCATCCGCAAAACGCATCTCGGCTAACCAGTGCTTAAGGACAAGGAAGCATGCAGCCACATAATTCTAGATCCTGGGCGCAGGTTTCTTTCAGTATAATGGTGTAAAGTTAACAGCCTTTGTCACCCAAATCCAGGTGTCTCTCCTTCAATGCACCTTATCACAACTGACAAAGTCTTCGTGCAAGCATCAATTGCATGCAAAATTGATTGCTGGCTTGGGGTTCATGGCAGTTGCGGTCGCAGTGCTCGAGATTCAGACCCTGGCAGTTTCATGAAATGGAACTGAGGTTCAGCAGGTCGGGGTGAGGCTCTGTGTTATCTCAACCCCTCGGCCTGGAGGGGTTCGCAGGTTGGGTTTCGGTTCGAGGTCATCATTGTGCTTCCGTTCTGGCACATCCTTTCTTCGTTCTTTGCATCATTTTGTGATTTATCATATCTTTGGAGTAGTCATGCTTGCTTTTCTTGCATTCACAATCTTGCCCCACTTAAATTCTCTGATTAACATTAACGTATTGCCAACCATTCTTGTTCTAGATTTGTTAAGTTGACCGAAGGACGAACCCCTGTGAGCATCTCACGTCGAATTCCTTGCTTGCAGTGGTGCTGATTATCCTCTCTTCCTTGATCTCATTCTTCGTTCAGCTGCTGTGCGGAACTACTTGAAGGCTCAAACAACATTTCAAGACTTGATCATTGACACTCAAGCTTATGATTGCCAAAGGACGACTTCACAAAGCTCGTGAGGGCGCAACCCGTCATCTTCAGGTTCTCGTCCACTCCACTCCGGAGAGTGAGAGACATCCTGCTGCTGGTACTGCAGAGGGGAAACATCAATCTTGTTACTGAAAGCCTGTTACTGGTTCCTGGTCAATGCGCCATCAGAATTTCTGTCATTCTGGCTCCTGCAGCGAATGCCGGAACTCCATGTCCAGCTTGTCTCGACCTCGGAAGTGCTCGGAGCTCTGCGAAACTGCAACAACTAGGGTGAAGGCAAGGACATTCTACACCCCCTCAACAAGGATGCCACGTGCCAAAATCTCCACCAGCGTGGTTCGAACAATTCTGGGCTGTTCCCTCACCTTGTGTTCTACTTATAGGGACAACTGCTTCCACCATGCCAACATGCCAGAAGTACATCGTTGAACTTAGAGTCCGAGATGATCCAGATGCTTCCCGGCCTGATGGCAAATTTATCAGTCTAGACTAAGCTGTAGTGCAGCCGTGTAGAAACGCTAAGCTCATCAGCTCAAAGGGCAAACTTACCAATCGATTGGCAATGCTGTCCTGAACACCAACAAATAATTATCTCTGTAGAAACAAACCAGTGGCACCAGCTGGCTTCCTCCCATTGGATGGACGGCCCACAATCCTTGACTTGCCGGCGATCCTTGCAGGCAATCTTGCCAATCCAACGCTGCAAAATCTGATTTCAGCGCATTGCCTTGACGTATTTGTACTCGACATGGATGAAGTGCGAAGCTTGCGAAAACTCTGCGTCGCCACCTTTTCAAGCCAGATTCTGCTGGACCGGCATTACAGACCTTGCTAAGCCACGGACTATCGCCGCTTGAAACCACCTCCGGCTCTTCCGGGATGACAGAAGCATCACGTACCTGCAACAACAATCTACCATCAAACCATCAAAGCCTCTTCTCTCAAAGGCTTGGTCAAATGGGCTGACAACACGTGGACTGGCAACGGAATGTCCCGGGGTGTCGAGGTCCTGTTGATACTCGATTCGTGGGCCACACCGGCACCCGCAGGACTTTCTGTCCTGTGAGCGGCACAAGGAAGCCGAGGAGTCGCTCGTTCCTGGCCTGGGTCCGGCGCATGTTTACCTGTATCAACACTGCACAAGCTCCTCAGATTCAGGCGAGACCCACACCGGTGCCAACCTAAAGCTGGTTACATTTACATTGCCAGATTGCAGGTCTTCAGGGCGCAGCATTGCCCAGCAAGGATAGCATGAAGCTCCGGTGCGAAGTTGCCTCAAGAGATGGATGAGATTGCTAAGCTGCTATGCAGATGCCGGGCGAAAGTGCAGAAGATGAGGGGCTGTGTATCCTGGGCAATGCTGAGCACATGGCAAGCCAGACGTGTAGCAGTCCCAAGCTCCGAGCCTCGAAAAGGAGAAAAAACTGAAAGTCTGAGAGTCGGAAGCCGTGAGCTTCGCATGCGAACTCAGGAGCACACTCTGTGCGAGCCCCAACAACCGTCACTGTTTCACCTGGCCTGCACGTCTGAGCACGTCAGTCAATCTTGGTAAGGAGCAAGATAACTCTGCCACAAGCTCAGTGACACGTCCGCCTCGTCTCTGCATGCCGCAGCTCAAACAGCAGCCCCAGGCGTCCCATTTCTCAACCTGCCCGTGAGGAATACGACCAGCACCCCGCTAGCATGACTTCATGGCAAGAAGTGCATCCATAGGCCTGGTGACACAGGTCGCCACCAAGCCAAGCTCAGCGAAATAATCGAGCAACTAACTACACAGGGAAACTGAGATTAACCGGCGCGGAAATGGCAATGGCAACCAGCAAGCCTAGATGTCTTTATGGCCGTGCTCAACAGATTATTCCGTACAGATTCCAAGTTTTTGTGGCCCTCAGCCTTTGCCCTTCCCGGGAACCTCGAACCATTTTCTGCCGAAACAATGCAACCACCTGATCCCTGACTTGGCATCTTTGTTTTCGCCGGGCTGTGGGCCTGGCCTGCAATGAACCTTAGGAGAAAGGGGGCCACTTTGATTTGAAAGAAATACCAATGCAAAAACAACGGTACAGGTCCAAGCAAAAGTGCGCGTCAGCTGAAAATCCAGCCAAAATAACATCAAGCAAGCTCTTTTTGTGAAATGTGGTCCATAATTAAGCCAGTGCTTTCCATAGAACGCCAGAGCAAGCAAGCTCTTTGCAGGTCTCATCCTCCGCTGGCCTCTGGGGCTCCCATCCTTCAAAATCATGCGGAAAATGTCAAATCGTACATACTAAAAATCTAGAGGAAATCCGCATCAGGCATGCCAAAAGTAAAGTGTGGAACTTGCTGGAAGCACAGCAGCACGGAAGCACATCAGCAACACAGCAACAAGGCAGCAGTGCGGCAGCAGTGCGGCAGCAGCGCGGTAGAAGTGCGGTAGCAGCACGGCGGCCAGCGTAGCTCAAGAGTCGAAGCGCTCACGAAGACAAAGTGCTCAAAGCAATTTGCAAGCAGACACAGACGGGCAACACTACAAGCGAACAACAATTTCCCCAGGTGAGCTAAGACTTCAGGAACCTTGAACACAAAAGCTATGCGCACACAAAAATGTCCACGTCAACGTGCCACGAGCAGCACATTAGCAGCTTCGCGCTACCTGCAAGATCAGTCAACGCGACAAGCCAGATACTATGTTGTCCTTTCAGCAGCTCAGTGCATACGATGTTTGAATCCAACCGTAGCGCAAAGCACACGGGTTTGCGGTTCAACGTTTTTGCAACGAGCAAGCGAAAGCTGCATGTCCCCAGCCGTGCTGGGTAAGCAAGCATTGGCCCATCCAGGGCAGGCCTGTACAGGCACCAAAAGAAGGTATCGTCCTCAGAGGGCACGGCCCGGAAAATCGTCAAACAGGCTGGCACGGCCAGAAAAAGCGAAAATGGAACTTCCACACGCAGGGCTTCTCAATACCTGCGGCGGTGCTCCATGTGCAGTGCCTCATCCACGCCCACACGCTAGCCCTGGTAACCTTGGAACCTGGGCCCTGCCAGCTTGCGAAAACGTTTCACAAACTAACCCAAAACTGGCGCGTCACCGGCCCCCTCGCCACCGTCCAAAACGTTGGTGGTGTCAGGCGGGCGGCACGGCCGCCGGCTTGGCTGAGGCAGCAGGGGCATCGAAGGACTCGGACGCAGAGGAGCTGGGCCCCTCAACACTGAAGGGCGGAGTGGGGGTCACGGACTCCATCAGACTCCGTGTGTTTATTCTGCCTCTTCTTGCGGCTACGCTTGAGATGAGGACTCCTTGCTTGCCTGCGCCGCGTGGGTGCATGTGGCACTTCGGCCTTCACTGCCGTGGCGACCGACGGAGGGCGGGATTAGCTGCTGGCAGGGCACGAAGCCAAGCAGCGCAGCTGCGAAGGGATTGATGTTCTGGCCCCAATTTCCAGAGCCTACGTGCAACCTGCGGTGGACGCGGCCTCTGAAATCTCAGTTTCGTGGACCACCTTGGAAACGTTCCAAGACTTTGTCGGAAGCGTCCAACTCAACATTGGCGCTGCTGAAGATTTCATCCATACTGACAAGCTAGGACGCCAGGCAGAGGGCAAAATGCTGTGTTTGAGCAAGCGCCGTGCCACGAAGAGCATGATCTCACCTGCAGGGGGCATGGAAAGAAAAAGGGGTGGAAACGAAACCTGGGAAAAGGGACAGTGAACCTACGCGGCTATTAAAACAACAAAACCAAGGAAGACTCTGGGCGCACGCGGCAAACTTGACAAAAGAGTTCCTTAGGTAGCCTACGCGGACAGGTGGGAGCCTCTAAACTACAACTCATCTCGGCCAACGCGGAGCACTCAGTGCTTTCAATTTCTGACCAAAATACAACTGGTCTTGGGTTTTCCCCTTGGGCCTTTGCCAACGCGCCTTTTCAAGGAGACTACTAGCCAAACGTGCCATACCTGAGGCTAAAGAGCTACCAATCCCACAACCAACGCGGTACTCAAACCATGGGGAAGGCACTGCGCCAAGCAGCCTTGGACCACAACTGCATGAGAACGAATCTGAAGGGAAGCAAAGCCTGCAGACCCCTGAACAGTTTTCACCCTTTCAAAGTCCTGGGAGCACGGCCCTCCGGGCCTGCTCAAAACAAGGAAGGCCAGCTGCAGCTGGCAGCGGTACACCGAACGTCGGCCACGGTCAACGCCTCCTGCTGGAGGATCGCCCAGAGGCCTTGTGACACTCGTCACAATAGTGCCCTCCGTGCAGCGAACGTCGCAGGGGTTCTGTGGGCTTGCGCTGCTCCTAGCCTCAAAACGCACCAGTACAAGAAAGCAGAAGGCACTTCTCCTTTTTCTTTTGGATTGCTCTGAGTGTTGTGCAAAGGAGGGCTTGAAAGGCTTTGGGTTTCAAGCCCGGATCTCCTTTCGCTCTACCCCCTTGTGAGAAGAGACCAGAAAAGTCTGGGCTGAACGGAGTGTCCAGGCTATGTGAAACTAAGTTCAAGAACCACACTGTTCGTTACTTTATCAGCCACACACAAACCCAAGGCTACGCGCTAGCACCAAGCAGAGCAAACTAAGCAAGCCCTCAGCTACGCGCTACACTTTTGACTTTGCCGGTCAAGCAGCTCAGAGTAGGTAAAGCTAAGCCAAGGCTCAGGAAGCACAGCTACGTAACCGATGCACCTACTCAGGCTTGAGTGCGACCTACCCCATAAAGCTACAGCCAGGAAGAGTTGAAAAACGTCCGTGAGAAAGGTGCAGCAGTCCGTGCAAGCAGAAGCCAAGC